TATTTCAAAAAATAATTCGTTTTCATTATATAAATATTTTATACTTTATAAAAAGTATTACAAATTACAATATGATATAAATAAAAAAAATAAAAACTTGTTCTCGTTAAATTATTTTTATTTTTTAACACTTTTTATTTTTAAAACTCTATTCTTTATTAACTTTAAAAAGAAATAAAAAAAATATTTTTTGTAAATGTATTTCAAAAAATAATTCGTTTTCATTATATAAATATTTTATACCTTATAAAAAGTATTACAAATTACAATATGATATAAATAAAAAAAAATTTGTTTTCGTTAAATTATTTATATTTTTTAACACTTTTTATTTTTAAAACTCTATTCTTTATTTTATATATATAAAAATAGACAAGCCCATGAGCCGAAGCTCGACTCGACCTACAAGCTCGGACGAGCCACGAGCTCGTGGGCCGAGCCGAGCTCGCTCAATTTCAATGAGCCGAGCCCGAGCTCGACTCGTTGAAAACGAGCCACGAGCTCGGCTCGCCACGAGCACGAGCCGAGTTCGTGGCATTAAGGGCCGAGCCGAGCCCAACCCTACATGCATCTTGTTCACGATTTTTAGTTCATGGCATGTACAAGTTTATTATTTGTGCACCTATTCAAAATGTTATTGTAATATGTTGTTAATCCCGACCTTGTGTAGTTCTATGGAGATGGAAGAAACTACAAATAAATGAAAACAAGGTTTATCTTTGAATGTCTTTTCCTCATATTTAATTAAGTCATTCGTTTTGTAACTATATTCCATACACACTTATTTAATTTAAGTAAAATCAAACACGAAGTCAAGGTGACAACTTAAGATAATTTAAAAAGGTTATCGTTCTGAATAAGAAGGGATTGTAGAAAACAAGTTTAAATATTGAGTATTTTGCCAATGTAGGATGTTGAAATCATTCTTACACTTATACATTAGGCCTAGTTTGTATTTCACTAAAATGGAAAATGGGTTATTAATTTTTCATAGAATGTGTAGTTAAAAATAAGAAATTTTTTGGATTTACTTGTAATGTTATTTTGTCGCAGAATGTATAGTTAAAAAATAATTTTGAAAAAATGTAGCCTAAAAGAGGGCCAGATTAATCCCACTCCAATTTGCCTATAATTCTAAATTGCAATGTATATAGACATTTGGTTGTTTTGACTTTTAACAACGGAGAACGATTTACACTATGTCGAGCGAAGCAGGCGATCAGAACCCTAGATTCTTCGTCGCCGTGCATGTTGGCGCGGGATACCACTCGCCGTCGAATGAGAAAGCCNACCATCTATTTATGGTGCACATCGACTCTGTTCCATGTTTCTATATTCTAAATTTGTGCACAAACAAAGTAACATTTTCCTAAAATGGTTAGCAAAAGAAATTTTCCAGTGATCTAGGTATTGAATTCTTAAATTGGCCAATGAATATGCTTAGTGAAGAGAACTCTGGTCCATGAGTAAGAGGCTTATTGATAGTTGAATACTCCATATCAGATAAAAAGTTATCCCAAGACAGTAAAATCTGAGCACCCTTTCATGAATCTGTTAACTGACTATAGCAGGCAAGGTTAGCAGAAGATAAACGTAAAATTTTGCTGATAAGCCGAGAAATTACTTCATTAGTTGCCTATGGGGCTGTGGTTTTCTTGGTACTTATGTTTTACAAGTAAATGTAAACCTTTGTTCAGTTCTTGGAATTGGTTCAATACGTGGAGAAACTTCAACCTGAAAAAGGTGCTTGTGACTTTGAATGTCAGTTAGACCTTAGGGTTGATGCATGATGTAACTGGAGTAAGATTAAAGAACATAGTCTGACTTTTGATTTGGGGAGGTAGTCAGGATATATCTTTTTTATGTGTTAAAATGTAGAAAAGAATAAAAAACTAATTGGCATTGGCCATCCTAAATGGCAGCAGTGTCCCTGGCCCACAGGCTGACCCATGCTTAAGTTTCAAATTTGATGCTAAATATCCTCTTATCTGTTCGCTTTATGTTGATTTCGGTAATTGGAACATGTTCCTCGAACTGTAGTCATATAATGCTTCATATTTTATAGCTATGCATCTTCTCTCTATAGTGCTCATAAATGTTTAATTTTCTTTTCCAGCTTGGTGTCCATTAGTTATTTTTGCTCTTATAGCCAAAACGATTTGTGCTTTGATTCTAGCTCCTAGTTTCTTTTCCTGTGACGAACTCTAGTGAAGAAACTGTAATTTTATTTAGATTCTGTTATCTTCTTTTTGACTTGGAATACTGCTTATGGTTGAAGAGCAATTCACATGCAGTCAAGATTATTTAAGATCATGGATTAGGAAATGTGTTTAACATTTCAAACAAACCTTAACTATTTTTACAGGTAAGTGGACGTGTCGGATTAGCCGCAATGTATGGTTCCGGTTGTTGGGCATCATCAAAAGGGCCTTTTGCAGCTCCTTTTATCGTTGGTTGCTGCGTAAGTGGTGCTGGAGAGTACCTAATGAAAGGATTTGCTTCTCGTGAATGCTGTGTATCATCAGCATTGTATGTCCCTGTGATTGAGTCATTACGAGCAGTTATTTTTATACTTAAGGAAGCTATTCAGCATTTGACATTTGTTGATTTTTGTGCCTGGAAACCTGAACTATTAGATATATTGTGCATTTACATGCGATATGAACCTTGATATATATCTTTGTCACAGGTCTCAGGCTGGTCCAGCCTCAGCTTGTACAAAGGTTTTGCTCTCTGTTCGTGAAAATGACCAATGTAACACTGATAGAAGTGCTGGAATTTTACTAGTGCAAGCTGAAGCTCCTGAAAGGGTGTGGTACTGACTTAAAAAATTATCAGATATCAAATTTTATTTTCTAAAACTTCTTCAATTCACAATGTCCTTGGTTGCATAGGTTCCTGGTAGTTCAGCTAAGCTAGAAGCTGTTGAGATTGCGGCTGTCTATACTTCCTCATCTTTTGGAATTGGTTATTTTGGAAGCTCTATGGGGCGGCCAAAGGTATCACAGTCACATCTGTTTACTAAAGAAAATAAGAAAATGGATGTTTTTTTTTTCAGACCGATGAAACTGGGTGAGGACTTGGACTAGTTGTCTCTTAGAAATTTCTGTCATTTTCTTTTAAGAAATACTTGTATGCAAGAAATTAAAGTTCAAGGTAGACTTCACCAAGTTATAAAGTAATATGGTATGGGTTGGAGAGAGTTTGATATTAGCGGAACCCATGTGGGATGAGGTTAGGGTGGTTGATGTCTCTCTGTTTTTATGTACTTCTTTGCCTGGGGGTGGGGGCATGTGCTTACAGTTACAGTATCACAATTCAAAGTACAGAAATATAATTTTCCCCCGAGTTTGATATTATGGTTTATTAATAATTTTGTATGACCTTGTTGATAACTGAGTGACCTCTTTCTAATGTCCATTAAACTGAAGACAAAATACATTATGTTATTCGCGTTTATTTCTTTTATTTTGAGTACATGAACAAAATTTGCATTTATTTCACAGGCGTCTATTCTACGGAGTACAAGACTACAAAAACAAACTGGAGCCGATCAGTTTGCAGAACGAATTAATCTTGTGGCTTAGAGTTTCAAGACTACAAAAACAAACGGGAGCAGGTCAGTTTGCAGCACGAATTAATCTAGTAGCTTAGGTTATTGGCTTTCGTTGAAAACAGATTAATGTGGTTATCACAAATGCCTCCAGTTTTTGGTTTTTGCTGGCGGATGAAATTATCGTTCTTCTGGGATTGAGATTGAAAATATGCTATCTAAAAGATTTTATTATTTGTACGCCTGGGGAGTTTTTCTTGCCCAAATAAGAAACAGAAAATGATTGTGCTGTGTTGATCGAAATTTGAACTGTCAGCGTATTAACATATTGAGATGTCATTTCAATTCCAAAACAACCGCGCCGAATGCTCCATGCATTATACTTGCATCACATTCTACGTGACCATCCTCAATCAAATTTGATCCTCTCCCCGCATTCGTGCAAGGATCATCGTTGTTGCTTGTCAAATATGAAATGCCATACGGAGGCTCCACAATAATACATAACTGTAAATCAGTTGAGGCTCTCAAGGGGTCAGCTAAGGTGCCTCCCAAGCTCAGTCGAGGCACTCCAAAAGGTAATCCGAGTTGCCAAAGTGCTTGCCGACGTGCCTTCAAGGATGTCAACTGGTCCAATTGAGGCTCTCAAGAGGCCAGATGAGGTGCCTTCAAAAATGTTGCTGAGGCCCTAAGAGGTCTTGTTGAAGTGCTTTTGGAGGTATTCATAACAATGCTTATAAAATAGAAAAATTCATATTTCAAGTGTATTCTTTACACCATTTCAAAAATCAGGTAAGAAGTTTGAAAAATTAAAATTCAAGTTTGTATTTAATTAATTAAAAATATTTATTAAATAAATATATTAAAGTCACAGTTAAACAATTAATAGTCACAAATTTACTTACTGGTTATATATCATCAAATTAATTAGTCACAGATTTATTCATTGGTCATATATAAAAATTTTCATAGGTTACAAATTATTTCGAGGTCACAAATTATTTCGAGGTCACAGATCAAAAATTTTAGCGGTCACAGGTTTTTTAAGTCACGGATTATCAAATTTCAAGGTCATAGACCAAATCGTTGAGGTCACAAATTAATTTTTTAATCAAGATTGTCAAATTTTAAGGTCACATGTCAAATCGTTGATCACATATACCAAATACTCCACTGCAGAACCCAATCCATCACCAATTCTTGGTCACAGAGAAACCAAATTGTCACCACCACCACCACCAATAATGTCGCCACCACTAGATCCAACACATTGCCAACAAAAATCACCACAACTACCACTACAAGATCCACTGCCATCGCCGCCACCACCGTAATTGTTGCCGACACCATTTTGCAACACTACCATAGCCACATACAACCACAAACAGATCACTCCAGTTGTAACTACTATCGCCTGTCTTCGACCTAGATCCACTGCACCCCCACCACCACCACACTGTCATCGAATACACCACACACAATCGCAACCTGCCTCCACCTTACACCATCCCCAAAATTTGGAGCCACAGATCGAAGTTTGAACAGTACGGCACAGCCAAATCCTGAAACGCTGCTCATCAAACAGCACAGTCAGAGTCGCGCAATGTACCAGATCCTGCACAGTGTTTCTCTCGGTTGCAATAGAGAGGAGGAGAGAAAGTGGAATGCACCGGCTTCATCGACAGTGCTCGAATATCACATCAACGCGGGGCCTCGAAGCTGGGCTCGACGGTGTCTTCGGCTGCGAGTGCTCCTCAACGGCGACAGGCATCTATGACAGATGATAGAGAGAGACGAGATACACTGCACCACCACCACCACCACCACTGTACCGTCATCGAATACACCACACACAATCGCAACCCGCCTCCACCTTACACCACCCCCAAAATTCGAAGCCACTAGATCGAAGTTCGAACAGTATGGCACAGCCAAATCTTGCAACGTTGCTCATCAAACAGCACAGGCAAAGTCGTGCAATGTACCAGATCCTGTACAGTGTTTCTCTCGGTTGCAATAAAGAGGAGAGAAGGTGGAACGCACCGGCTTCATCGATGGTGCTTGATTCTCACATCAACACGGGGCCTCGAAGTTGGGCTCGACAGTGTCTTCGGCTGTGGGTGCTTCTCAACGGCAACGGGCATCTGTGATAGATGATAGAGAGAGACGAGATATGAAGAGAAAGGAGTAGAAAAGATGGAAGAAAACTGATAGGATACACCGTCGACGATGGGTACTGTGAGAGAGTGTAGAGAGAGAGAGACGAGATATCAAAAATGATAGGGTTTGTATGGGATTAGGTGGGTATAAAATTCAATTATTAATTCAATACCTGAATTTTGATTAAAACAACTTTGTACCTGATTTTTGCACTCAGAAGTTGAAACACCTGTGTTTTTGTAATTTCCACCTTATAAAATCACCTCAGGTTGGGCTTGGATTTAGGCCCATTAAAGCACTTGGCCCATTTCATTTGTCTATATATATGAGAATTCATTCAATTTTCAGGTAAGATGATGTTCTGAACCTTGACCAAATTCCCTCTCTCCCGACTATTGCACTATATATATATATTTCCGTCTGGCCATTGACTTGACAGTCAGAGTGAAAATGATCGTCGGACCTTTTTCTCGGTTGGCGGCCTGTCTCCTAATGGGGTGCTCCGTGTGCAGGTGTAGAGGGGACGAGGTCGGGCATCCGTTGACTTTATTTTTGTAGGTCAACAGATTAGCTCCATCTGTGGAAATCTGTACAATAACCATGTTTCTCAATCCATTCCAAAAAGCCATTGGATAAAGATAATTTTCCGACATCTTCTCTATAAAGCAACAAAAAAAGCAACCAAAATATGAAAGAACAGCAATGCCAGGGTGCCACGGAAGCATCTGAAAATGTCCTTGAAAAAAGGAATTTTTCGGCAAATAAAAATCAAAGGCACTATTGATGGTGCCAATAGAGGGAGAAAAACAACAAATATAGAGAAAAAAGAGAGAAAACTCGGGAAGAAGAATAAGGAACGGGTACATAAATTTTTGGTACTTTTTGAAGAGGAAAATAAATACAACTCCATAAAACTCGGGAAGAAGAATAAGGAACGGGTACATGAATTTTTGGTACATTTTGAAGAGGAAAATAAATACAACTTCATATGTCTCTTGCCATTTGATTGTATTCCTATTTTGCTCTCTTTTATCATTTACTTGCAAAAGTTGTAATCGTGTTTTGGTGAGATTATCACTGTCCGTGTGAGAGCTTTTCGGTCACTTCGCTGACTTCTGAACTACTTAGTCTCGTGCCGAATGAGCATATTCTGCGTCCATTCTACCGTCCGATCAAATCAACTATCCAAACGTACTAGAATTTGCTCACGTGGATGCGAGTGGGTTAGACATCCGTTGACGTCATTTTCGGAGGTCAACAATCCTGTAAGAAAATATTTGTCCTCAAAAGATACAAATTCAATGCTCATGCGTGATTAATTAAAATAAAATTACACAACCTAAATATACCCACACAAATGATTACCTCCAAAACTTGAATTGCCGTTGCATCAGAATCTATAAATCGACTTGAACCCTGAACCAAGACCAAAAAACAAAAACAAATCATTTATCGGGATTGCTACAACTAATTTGACTGGAGAAAGTTGTTTTCTTTTCATTTAACATTGGAAAAAAGAAAATTATGCGTGTTAATAGAGAAGTAGAGGACCTTTCGGAGAATGGAAGCAGCGGCTTTCATGACATTGCGGAGGGCTTTCTCATTCGACGGCGAGTGGTATCCTGCGCCAATGTGCACGACGACAAAGAATCGCCTACTTCGCGCGACATAGAGTATATCGTTCTCCGTTGTTAAAACAACCATATCTATATGAGGAAATACACAGAAATGACTCAACGACTGTAACAAATTTTAATATTGGCCTTTGAAAGTTTAAGTCAATTAAAAAAAAAATTAGTTAAAAAATAACTTTACATACAAAAGAGCGATTTTACCCTTCTACATTACAAACTGTGTTCGAAGCCTAACCGACCGATCCAAAAGAAAATCAATGGAGGAGTTGCCACAGAAACAATCCGATCAACCACCGGCCGACCAACGCCACGACTTTGATCAACCACCACTATCTACCACCGGGCGAAACTATTTCGGTTAGTTTTCTCGCACAAATTTGTAATTTTTGTTTTTAATGAATTGAATTTTTTTACATTTATTCAGTTTAATACTAGCATGATTAGTTAGATTGTCTGGTGCTAATGTGAATTTTTTGGACCTCTCATTGTCAAAAATGACGATTTTCGGCGAAGAGAGGAAGGGGGGAAAAACGTCGACTGTTAACATTTAATTATTAATTATTTATTTTTTTATAATTTTCTTTTATTTATGTAATTTAATAATTGAATATTATCTGAAATTAACAATTTATTTTGTTCCTTTTTTTTTTTATAAAATAATCTTTGATTTTTGTTTCCTAATTTATTTAAATAATACTATACTTTAATTTTTTTAAAATGTATTTATTTAAATTTTTTTTTTTGTAAATACATTTTCCAAATGTAATATACAAGATTAATTTTCTTTATAATTTTAATTTGATTAAATAATAATTATGTTATTTATTTATTTAATATTTATATTCTTTAATTTTTTAAAAAATATTTAAAAAATATTTATATTCTTTAATTTTTTTTGAAAATATATTTAATCTTTAATTTTTAATTTTTTTATTCTTTAAATATTAATAATTTCCTTTTGTTGAAAATCTCATTAATTTGTATTTTAATTTAATTAATTATTGTTTACATTTGTATTGAATTTATTTTGTTATTAGCGTCAATATCTTGCGTATAGTATGGTATTTAGAATCGGTTCCCTTGATTTTTTGAGATTATGCGTCATTTTATTATCTCTTGTTTAATGTTCTAACATTTGAATTTTTGCAGGATGGAGTATTATTTAGATGGGGAGTTGAAACGGATGGCGGGGAAAGCTACTTGGAACAGTAGCTTTGAGAGTTTTACTGCTATGATGGAGCTGCTCGATGATCAGCAAGGAGATATGCTACGACAGTCCTTCTTATGGCCACTATACCAGATGCGAGAGGTGCAGTACTCAGGACAGATCATCGATACACTTCTATGTCAGTTTCTGAGGCCAGTCGACGGCGATTCCCTGCACTTCGACCTCAGGGGCAAGGTCATCAGTTTTCTCGATGTATGAGTTTAGCTTGATCACTGGACTGAGGATTACGGGCGACGATGCAGCCATTGAAAGAATCAATAGGCTGTACGAGAGGTACTTCCAGGGACATGGGTCGGTGCTTTTA